GAAATTTATTTGAACAAATGACTTTCTATCAAACTTTGGTAACATTATAATTAAAAAACAAGACATATAAAGTGAGCGATGGTGGAAATTGTAATTTAAATACAACTTGATAATTGGAATCCGATTTTTGTGGTAAAACTTTATCATCTGATTTCAATTCAATTTCTTTGCCGTCTAGTACTCGATAGGTTGTACCACCAAATACCCAATAACCGTCAAGATTAACAGCATATGGTTGACGCTGTTGTGTGAAAGGTGTTTCAATAATCATGGTTAAATTATTCGTCGGATAATCCCATGAAAGCCTAACATCAGTGCATGTTTTAAAATCCGTCGCACCTAAATTGAGCGTCGCCGAATCACATGGTTTGGAGATAAATAATCGACTCTCGCATACACCTGGTGAACTATATACTTTAGCCTCGCAAGATTCTCCCCTAACAGGTACACTGTAAACCAATCCGATTGATATTAAAATGAAGAGTGTAGATATCGATACCATTCTCTGTTATTTCGCGAGAAAAAGAAAGTGGAATATGCAGAAAAAGCCATTTATATATATTTTTTCTGTATACTCAAAATGATAGATAAAAGCTAACCGAGATAAGAAATATGTGAGAATAGGAAGGCAATCAAGCTATAGAAACACAGCTGTTTTTTTTTATTATCGTTTGAAGCGAATTAAATTGTCATAGATAGTTATAAAAATTTGAAAGTTAAAAACAGTCAGCTTTTACTGAAACAAAGCTGCATGTGCATGTTTATTTCACATACTTTTGTTCCTCCTAAATAACAGAAACTAAATGCATTATTGTTGAATGTGAGCATGCGCATGATGAAACGAACTTCAGCGCGAGAGCCCAGCTTTCATTAAATCGAAAAATAGACTGATCTAATTATTTTAAAGAAAGACAAATACAATCTGCCGTTCTCAACTTATGCTTTTCAACAATCGATTGTCTTGTCGAAGTATAAAATTTAATTAAAGAAATATATAATTCAAATTTCCGATGCATTTCGTGTCATTAATTATCAATATATATGGACATTCATCAGGGCTGTGTATTTCATAAAAAAAACGAATAAAAAACTGAGGTATGGTACTTTATTGAATACGAAACAGTAGGTAAAAAATGATGACAGCACAGAGATGGGCAAGTCATTTAGAAAAAGTCTTATAACGTTTCTCATCTAAGGAGTGTGACTTTAATTACAACGTGGCTAAATTCAGAAATGTTCAGGCTACAAAACAATATATTATGATTAAATTTTTTCTCCATCAGAAGCGCCGTAAAACCTTTGAAACACCGTGACTTGAGGAAAATGACTTGGCTTGATCAGGTCAAATCAAGTCATGGGGTTTCAAAGATTTTACGGTGCTTCTGATGGAGAAAAACTTTAACCATAATATATCGTTTTGTAGCCTGAACATTTCTGAATTTAGCCACGTTGTAATTAGAGTTACACTCCTTAGATGAGAAACGTTATAAGACTTTTTCTAAATGACTTGAAGAAATGACTTGCCCATCTCTCTCACAGCAGAAGAACAGTTGAATCTGCATCTGATTATAACAAATTTCTTTTTACCAGTGAAGACAAAAAAACAGTTGGATTTTTGAACGATTTCACAACAACGCATGAAGTCAAAGAGGAAAGTGAAGACCTAGTCGAAAACACGAAAACATTTTTCGAGTCGAATCGAATTTTCGATTTCTACGTTACTAAGTGCAGCGAGATACATGCTAAAGCAAGTATTCAAGGTGACCGTGTAGCGAAACCTGAAGGAAATTTCTCAATCGAGGGTGGGGTGTGAGGGTGAGTTTCGAGTAAATAATAAAGCGAATTAACAATGAGTAAATAAAAACAGAATAACTTAACGAGAAATTGTTTTTGTATATTTATGTAAATTTATGTTTATGTTTTTGTTAGTTTTTTAGTGTTTTAGAAAACATAAGCTATTTTTAATTAAATGAAAGAGAAAGAAACTTGTTTTTGTTTTTTTAGTGAAAGATTAGCATTTTTTAACTGTTTTTGGTTTATTTTTAGTGAGAAAAAGATTCACTTGTTTTTGTGTGAGGAAAAGAAAAAACAAAAGAGAAAAGCTTCTAATTTTTGAAAGAGAGATTTAGATTTAAGACATATCAAATTTGTTTTGTATTTTATAGTGTTTTTTTGTTGAGTTTTGGATTGTTTATTGAATAATAATAAATAAATAACAATAAATTGTAGCGACGCGTTTCGTATGCTTTCTTCAGACTATCTGACTACCCTAGTGAAGGTACTCATATGGGAGTACTCAAAAAGTACTCAGGTGAAAATTGTCACGAGTACTCATGAGTACGACTGCCAAGTACTCGCCGTGGAAAATAGAGTCTTTTACGAGTACTCATCTTACATTTTTGAGTACTTTAATGATTTTTTTGCAAAATACTCACACATCTATAGTTGGTTCATCATTATTATTTTATATTCTTTTTATTTTATTTAACAGTCAACGATGTGGCACAAGCAAATATTATGAAATTTCGAGAAATGAAAGCTTTCAACTATATTTTTCTCTTTTTAATATATCACAACACAGACATTCTCTCTGTAGAAGAAAATAAACAGTACACAAAAATAAATATTGAAGACACTATAATATCAGTACAGACAGATAAGTGGTAAAATATTAAGGTATGCAATAATAGGAAACGAAAATTTTTAAAGTAATTACGACAAAAAAAATTCCATAAAACTTTTAACTAGACTTTATCTAGTAACACGTATAAGAACAATAGAAAAAATAAACTTAGTGTCTTTATCATGACGCCCGTATCTCAAGACTATTGAAATCGAAATAATCTGTACGAAAATTTATTAGTTATCACTTGTTTTGTTAGTTTCGTTTATGGACTTTAAAAAATAATTGTGTGGCTTGCACTGTAACATTATTAGGTGATATATTATATAACGCATTTATTAATTGTACAGTTTTAGTGAAATTCAATATATTATAATCTTAAATGCAGATTTTAGTGTGCTTCTTAAAGAGGTAATTAAATAAATTAACTGTGCATAAAGGTCAAAGGGCTACAATACATTTTTTGTTCTAGCACGAAGACAAGAAATTTATCAAACTTATTATAGTGTTGATGACTAAATAGACTAATCAGATCATTTAATAAAAAACGAATAAATTTATTCAGATTGATAAGCAATTATGTTCGAACAATTAAAATGCGAGTACGAAGGGTGTGGGTGTTGATAGAAGTACCACACCCACATCCCACACCTACACCCACACAATTTAATTTTTAAGGATGACCTGCTAAATGAAGTCGATCAACTGCTAGTAGAATATGAACTATTTCATTTGCTTTACCTATTCGGAAAAATATCAGTTCTGTTCTACAAAGTATAGGGATGTCACAATTAAGTCAGAAACTTTATTTTTAATCATTACTCAGCAAACGATCTGCTTATTTCTGATGCTAGGTGACCCATCTGGTTCCACAACTTCGTCTATCTCAAGAACTTCAACTACAACTTCCAGATCAATGCCGGAAACAACACAATAAGGTAATCATAATAAGATTTCGCAGTTACTAGTTATTTTATATTTTTAGTTTTAGCTGTCACTCAGACAATAATTGGGTTAGTAAGTTCATTAAGCATGCAATGCTCTCTAATTTTTGTCTTTCTTCGAGCAATCGGTAGCTTTACAAACAGAATCACGTGAAAACGATCAGAATTTAATTACTATAAGGTAAACCATAACTTTTAAATGTATATATCAAATCAGCTTTCGATTTTTTTCAATTCAAACATAGAATTGAAAGCGTGCCTCTTCGACAATCATTTCGTTGTTTGTCTTTTTTTACAATTAGATATTGAATGGTGTTCATTTAAGTCATGTATCAACTCGTGCATCAATAAATACAACTGTAACAACACTGTTGTAAACTACTCATGATGAAACTACATGCTTTAATGATTTACGAAAAGGAGAATTCAATATGTTACTAAGTTGAATGAAAAGAATTCATTAAAACATTTTGGCTCGTATTTATTTGAGCAATAAAAATGTTGGAATGAGCAGTAATTTAAACATGATTTGGCAGTAATGTTTGAGCAGTAAGAAAACTTTATTTGAGCAATATTATAATATTAAATGAGCAATAAATAGTTTGTTATATGCCAATATTGATTTCATATTTGAGCAACAAGAAAAGAGAAAAACTACACTATTATATCTGTGATTGGCAATAAACAAAAAGAAAGATGAAATATACATAACTGATCATTACACCAATAAAGCTTTTCGCTTTCGATGGTCTGCTTCTTTTTCTTTTCGAACAAATTTCCACCATTTTGCCTAGGTTGCAGGCTTGCAATATTGTAATCTAATCAAGATACTAATTGTAGCGTACCTGTCAAACACGAGAAGACCCGCAGAGGCCGCAAAATCGGGGTGATAATGGCAGTGACTGTGGGTGGTCAGTGAAGTTGCGGATTAGGATCTTTTCTTGTTACTAAATATCGACGCCACATAAAACTTTGCTAGATCTTCTTAGATTTCGCCGGACTCTGTGGACTCTGCTAGACCCTTATAGGTCCTGCTAGACTGTGCACGCCCTGCTAAACCATGCTAGACTGTAGATCCTTCTGAACCCGATAGACCATGCTCGATCACGCTAAACCCTTGTACACTCTAAAAAAAAGGTTTTGTACAAGACCCACAAAAATAGATTCGGTAGACTTGAAATTGCTTCAGAATGCATCCAAATGCTTAAAAAACGAAGCTTCAATTCTACTGAACCTTTCAATGTTCTTTCCCTGGATATATGGGAAGAGCCTTCTGCTGAAAAACCTTTTTTTCTCTAAGGAACTTAAAAAAAAGGTTTCGCACCAAAATGC